GAACAGAGCCAGAATTCAAACCAGAGCCATCTCCAAGAGCCCAATCCCGAAACCCTAGGCACTGGGCTCTGAAATCTTCTTGCCTTGGCCTTTTTATTTTATTTTTAAATTTTTTTTATCCTCACCTGAGGATATTTTTCCATTGATTTTTAGAGAGAGTGGAAGAGAGTGGGAAAGACAGAGAGAAATATCAATGTGAGAGAAACACATCAATTTGTTGCCTCCTGCACACACCTAACCAGGGCCAGGGGCCCAGGAGGAGCCTGCAACCAAGGAACCTGCCCTTAACTGGAATCGAACCAGGGACCCTTCGGTCTGCAAGACAACACTCCATCCACTGAGCCAAACCAACCAGGGCTACCTCTGCCCTTTTAGTTGACCAAAAAGATCCCACAACTCTCAGACCCATCATTCACACTTTCCAGGGGAGAAAAAAACCCTGTGACAACAAACAGAACTGGAGAGAAACAATATAATAATCAAAATGGCAAAAGTGCAGAAATAATATAAGACCCAGATGATCTGCAAAAGCAACCCTTAATAATGATCCTACAAATACATCAATTAATAGAAGAAGTGCAGCAATCAAAAACCACAGAGAGTGCAGGATGATGCTGACGAGTTCCTGATTAGTAGGTGATATGATTTAAGGGTTCAGGATTTCTAGCTCTTTCCGCAGGAATGTGCACAGTAGGAGTTTTGTAAGGTTGCTAAGCAATGCCTGGCAACCAGACTCTGGGGTGAATCACTCATTAGGAATCTTTGATAACTCTAGTAAGGGAATAATTTTAGTTCACAAGAGTCAAATTTTAGAAACCCTTAATAACTCATGAGTTACAATAACTAGTAAGTTGTCTTTAACCATGCATAAAAATACAAATCTATAATTGCCCATCTTTCATTGTAACAACTAAAAGAGACTTTTTCTTTTTTTAGAGAAATCATTCACTTAGTCAACCCATATTTGTTGAAAACCTACTATGTGCCAGGGACTCTTCTAGACACTAGAGCAGACACTAGAGAACCATAAATGGAAAACCATTAATGCTATTCTAGAATTCTATCAGGAAAACGAGGCTCAGAGAGGTAAAGCAACCTGTTCAGAGTTGCAAAGCACTGTGCTTCCCTGAAAGGCCACCTGGCCGTGTTTGGCTCACCGTGATTCACCAGCGTGCCCCTGGCCCTCTGAGCTGGCCCTGAGGGCTGGGAATGCCAGGACTCAGGGCTTGGCTGTTGAGCATCTTGGAAAGTCTCCCACTTGACCTTGGGACCTCTGTGGTCAAGTGAGGGAAAGCCTATGACACAGTGTGGGTTTTTATTGGACCCAACCACTGGCGAAGCTTGCCGTCATCTGGAGTGATGGAGAAAATTAAGTTACCACATTCTCACGTTTCAGCCTTTCGCCCGTTTTCCTTCGCAAACAGGAAATGTTTATTTAAATACAGCAGTCTCCAGCATGTTCCGGAGCCAAGTGAAAAACCAAAGATGTCCACTCTTGCCCCGCTCAACTGTTCAGGCCACCACCTCGCTGTGGGTGCGAAGAGGGCCTCTGCCTGCTTTTAGGCAGGATGGGGAGAGGGGGCCCCACGTGAGAATTCATTTTCATCTGTCTCCTCTTTTCCAGGCCGAGATTGTGGTTGGAGAAGAATTACATCTGTGAGCTCCTTTTGTGCTCAGAAGGGTAAATGCAACATCTGTTTACTCTGTGCTCCATGGTAAATGTTTTGTTTCAGGCACCACCATTCACTTCCTCTCCTCCTGTCCTCTATCTTTGCTACACGGATAATAAATTACATTGAATTCCCCTCTGCATTTATTTAACTTTCTTGTGGGTGTCACCTCCTCGTTGAGGGGGAAAAATTGTCAGTAGTTTATAAACGACAAAGAGTTTCTCTTTCTGTGAGATGTGCTGACATTAGGGAGAAGGAGCTGGAACATAGACCCCCAACTCTGATAGCAGCTTAATTACGAACAATTCAACAGGCCCCATTGCAGGCCTGAAGCAAAGTCCAAATGGTGACCACATTATCCTCACACAGGTTTTCTTTAATGGTGTACCACAAGCAGACAAGGCCTCAGAATTAAAAAATACCCAGAGAACAAAGCACAAGTGTGCGCGCGTGGGCACACACACACACACACACACACACTCCCCTTCAGAAAAGCCTCTTTGGGGGGTAGAGCAGCAGGAATGAAGAAGGGAAAAATGTTTTTTCTTTGTTATAAAACACAGTGTAAATGTGTGAGATCAGAAAGTGAATTTTAGGAAGACCCCAAGCATCTGACAGCAATGCTGACAAAACATATGCCCATGAAAAAACTGAGCCCTGAGAAGTTCAGAGGGCTCACGAGGAGATGTTTCCTTCCCCCTCCTTTGCTTACATTCTTTAAGTTGAATCGCAGGCTTTTTTTCTCTGTGTATGCAATGTTTTTATACACAGTTACTGGAATGCAGTAGATACTCAAGTAATGTTTGTTGAATGAATGAAGGAAGGAATGAGAAACTTTTCTTTAAAGAAATCCTTTGCATAGATATGCCAAATATCTCCCCAGAAGTTTGCAGACTTAAAATGCTATATCTGAGTTGACTGAGAGTGAAGGGTGGTGAAGGACTATGGGTGGGCTGCTCCTAACCCTTACATTCATCCTGACCTAGCTTGCTCCTAAAGGCTGGCCCTTCTGCCCAGGAGGGCAGAGCCTAGAATGAGGCCAGCCTTGCTGCATCACCCCATTGCACCCCAAAGTGGCACCAGTGTCCAGAATTAAGGCAGCCAAGACTCAGGTATTCCAAAGCACCTCCTACTCTGCCAATGCCGGCCAGTGACCATGACTCCGGCAGGGGCCCATGGAAATGCCAAGGACTCCAGTCTCCGCCCAACTCTTCTCAGTTGTAGAGCAGATGAGTCCTCTGGGGTGGGGTGCTCACTGCAGTCCTGCACCTATGAAGCTCGTGAAGACGTCCTACGTGTCAGGAGGAAACGGCCCACTCTCCTCTGTTTTCCAAAATGCAGCAGGATTTTGAAGATAGGGGAGAAGTAGTCTCAAGACTCCCAAAGGAGAGCTCAAGTCAATGTAAGCTAGCTGTTGTAACACATACCTGAAGCAGCAGCAGCAGTTGCCTATTCTAAGCCTCAAGCCCAGTCAGAACCCTCCCAGAACTCTCTGTTTATAGATCTTGGCCTAAACTGACTCTTGTTCCAAGAGGTCCAGCAGAGTAGTAGAGGTGTGGACTTAGGAATCAGACATGCTCGAATTGGAACACTTAACTAGCTACATGACTTTGAGCAAATGACAAGATGGCTTAACTGTAAAGTGAAATAATGAGCATTACCAGTATCCAATATAATAATCCAATATAACAAAAGGCTAATATGCAAATCGACCAAACAGAGGAACAACCGGTCACTATGACACGCAGTGACCACCAGGGGGCAGACGCTCAAGGCAGGAGCTGCCCCCTGATGGTCAGTGCGCTCCCACAGGAGCTGGGCTCATGGCTGGTGAGCGCAGTGGTGGTGGCTGGAGCCTCTCCCACCTTTGTGGCTGTGCTAAGCTGGCAGTCGAACATCCCTTGAGGGCTCCCAGACTGCAAGAGGGTACAGGCTGGGCTGAGGGAACCCCCACCCCCCAGTGCACGAATCTCGTGCACCAGGCCTCTAGTAACTAATAAGACTGTTGTAGGGAGACAATGAGATAGTACATGCTAACAAACTGAGGCAGGAAAAGCATTCATCAAACATTAGCTACAGTTATTTTTTCACTAACTCATTTGGAGCTTTCAGGAAAGCTCCAGGAAAAAGGAAGGCAGTTCTATTGTGTCTCCACCCAAGGATATATAAAGAGGAAGATTAGAAATGAGGTGGCAGGGGGTGATGACCAGGAATAACATGCTCTAGGACAATTCATCTCAGACTTAGCACTGCTCTCTTCCAGCCTAAAGTCAAGAAGGCAGAATGCATCTACCCTAAGACATGTGGAGAAAGAGGATGGACGGAGAGCAAGACACAGAGGAAGTCTGCCACACCAGAGCAAACTCTCACCCACTTCTGGGCTGTGTTCCCAGGCCAGTTCCACCCTTTCTCCCCCCTTCCCTACTCCCCAAACTGCAGGCTAGGAAGAGCCCACCCTGAGTCCAAGTTTTGAATTTGGTCTGAGGATCAAAATGATAAATGTTTCCAAAACGTTGACATATGAAATGTAAATATTTGGTTGCACAATTGGGGTTAAAACGAGGGTCAATCCACCCCACTCTCGGAGCGCCTCTCCTCCCGCTGCCAAGCCCAGGACCTGAGGCTGAGTGCGGTTTATAAGATTATAGCGCTTGGTCTCATTTAAAGGGTTGTCAGCATTTCCATTCTCCTTCTCTGGCCCTTTCGGGTAGGCATTTATAAGCGAGCCATAAAAAATTCACCCTGACTGCAGCTTGGCATCTCCGAGGCTGCGCTCCAGGCAGGGCGGGTTTTGCGAGCACCCTCTCTGAATTCGTTTGGTTCCTCACAAGTTAGACCTTCACACACACTCTCAACTTTCCTCGCAAGGGCAGCCAGACAGCGGCTGGCCCATTCTGATCTCCAAGCCGGTCACAGACTGGGCCCTCTCTCCTCTCTCCTCTCTCCGCGCCTGCAGCCACATCACCCCTTCACTGCCCCTCTTTCAGGAGCGCGGATCCCTTATCCTCACCCTAAGACCTCCTTGGCTGAAACGTTCTCTTCTCCTTCTCCTGCCAGCATTCTCCTTGGAAGCTGTCAGCGGGCCATGTCTGCAGCCCTCGCCCCTGGAGAGGCACTGCTCTTTGCCCACCGCAGGGGGCTTTGAGACCGCTCTCCCCAGACCTGCCCAAAGCCACAGACCCCTGTCAGAGAGTGAAGGATCCCATCCAGGAGGGTAAGAGCAGAGACTGCAGACAGCCTGGCCAAAGGAAAAGGCAGAATCTGGCGCCTGGGGGCCTCTCAGTGGGACCCAAGTGGGTGGCCCGAGTGGGGCGGGGCAGGGGTACTCACAGGCGCTCGGCGTTGCGGGGGATGCCGCG